AGGGGAGGAACTGTATCCTCCCTCAAGGGCCCAGGCCTGACCCATCTCTGGATGTCCAACACTGGCCCCCAGAGGGCACACTGGGATCCTCAGGAAAGGAATCAAACACAATTGAATGAGATGATGCTCCTGATGTCTCTCCCCAGAGACTCTGGGCTCCTTCTGTCTGCTGGGAGACAACTGGATTTCCTGCAAGGCCCAGCGAGGGCCTCACCTCCCCTCGGGAAGTCTTCTCTGATCTAAGAGGCGAGGTCCCCTGCCGCTTCCATTATTACCCACCGCACCAGATGTGACTGGACATAAGTCTGTCCCCTAGCACACCCTCCCAGAGGGGGATCCCCTGCAGGGCAAGTCCTGGGTCTGACTCACATCTCTATCCCAGCATTTTCCAGGGAGACCTCAGGAAACAATGTTTTTTGCATTTACTTTTTTTTTTTTTAAGATTTATTTATTTATTTATTTGACAGACAGAGATCACACGCAGGCAGAGAGGCAGGCAGAGAGAGAGAGGGGGGAAGCAGACTCCCCGCTGAGCAGAGAGCCCAATGCGGGGCTCAATCCCAGGACCCTAGGACCATGACCTGAGCTGAAGGCAGAGGCTTTAACCCACTGAGCCACCCAGGCGCCCCAGGAGTATATGTTGAATAAACAAATAAGTGAGTGAATGAAGCCAAAATAGAGAGAAGGGGGGCATTCAGAAACGGGTGGGAAAAAAATTTTTGCACAGCCGTTAAGAGGAAGGCTTTCTGGCTGTAGGTGACATTTTCCTGACTCTTTTTCTGTCCCCGTAACCGGGGCCCCAGCTCAAAACTCATTCTACCCCCCCACCCGGTCTTCCCCTCCCAGACTCTCCCTCCCCCTTCGGTGTACCCCTCACAGATCCTAGAGTTCACCCTCCCTCTGCTCTAGCCACAGCAGTCCCATTGATGCCCAGCTCCCCTGGATGGAGTGCCGGCCCCTCAGCCTTTCTCTTGGGGACCAAATCCTTTATCTGTACTTCAAGACCTACCTTGAATGTCACTCTCTCTGAGGCATTTCCTGATCTCCTGGCTCTCAGTGAAATTTTTTTTAAGTGTTTATTTATTTAGGTAATCTCTACACCCCATGTGGGACTCGAACTCATAATCCCAAGATCAAGAGTTGCATGCTCTTCGAACTTAGCCAGCCAGGCGCCCCCATATCACTGATTTTTTTCTCACAGAGGACTGACCCTCCCCCTCCAGGGCTCAAAGAACTCCCATGGCTTCCCAGTGCCCTCCCCACCCCCAGGAGAAACACACAGGCCCTCAGCCTGGCCTTAGAGGCCTCCCAAGCCTCATCTCACTTCTCTATACCACACCAGGTCCTTGAGCTTCCAGACCCTTGGACAAGTTGTTTTCTCTAACTGGGGTTCTCTTTTCCCTCTCCTCCACCGAGCAAATTCTTACTCAGGAGTCTGCTTTTCCAGAAAGCCATCAGCAGTGGTGAGGTGGGCAGGAGCCTCGTTGGAGCTCTCGAAGCCACCTGTCCCTGAGCCCCCATTATAGCACACAGACAGACTGGGCTCCATGCCCGGAGGCAGAGGGAAAGGCCAGGCCGGAGGTGGGTCCCAGATGTGGATTTCATGCCTATTTGTCTCGGTTGCTGGGAACAAAGTTCGGGTCATGGGGAACATATGGGGCTCGCCCTGCGCCTCACTTTCATCTCCTACCTCCCTGGCCCCTGGGTGGGAGGCAGGAGGGCCAGACCTCTCCAGGCCTGGGTGGTTCCCACAGCCCCTGTTCACCTTCTCACCTTGAGAACAGGGAGAGAGCTGCCCCCAATTTCCACTCCCTCGGGGAACCCAGCAAATTCTGCACATCGGTATTCTTGCCTTCTGGGCTCTGCTCTCCTGGTGGGGGTGGGGTGTGTGTGTGTAGCTACCAGACACTTAAATAATAACAAATTCAAAAGTCTCTTCCTCTGTGCCAGGCAGTTCTAAGCCCGTTAAACCACATAGTAACTCTTTTAATCCTCATAATATGCCCTGTGAGGGCTACTCTTGGTCTCGGGGTCCTGGGTTCGAGTCCCACATTGGGTGTAAAGATTGCTTAAAAATAAAATCTTTAATAATAATAATAATAATAATAATAAGTCCCATGAGTTACTTCCTATCCTCCTCATCATAATCCCAGTATTAGAGATGAGAGACCTGAGGGACACATAGAGATTTGAACCCAGGCATCCTGGCTTTGGAGTTTATGCCCTTCAATGAAAATGGTCTCTAGAGCAGTGCCATCCAAGAGAACTTTCCGCAATGATGGAAAATGTTCTCTATCTGTTCTGTCCACTGAGCTAGCCACCAGCCACTTGAACTGTGGCTAATGCAACTGAGGGACTGAATTTTACATTTTATTTCATTTTCATTCATTTAAATGTACATAGCCCAACGTGGCTAGTGGTGACTGTATCAGACCCGTTCTACGCCTGCCGCTTGCTGTGTGACAGTCCCTAAGACTTCTCGCCTCTCTGAGCCACGTTCTTCACGGAAGAGGTGACTAAGAGTGCAGGTGTAAATAAAAGAATACACCTGGACTTGAATCTCTGCCCTCCTTGAAAGCTGGAGTCCTCCCGTGAGCCTCGGTTTTTTCTTCTGTATAAGGGGAATAATAGGACCAGCCTATTTAGTCAACAAAAATTTGAGTACCTACTTGGTCCTACGGGCTGCGTTTACAGCAGGGGACAAAACGGACTCAGATCCAAGGTCAGAACAGCGGGAGGTAAAATGGAATGTCATGGCCAGAGGACTTTGAACGTCTGCCTCTCTTTTCCTGGAAATGCCAAAAGGCTGCTCTGCCTAGCACTACATGATGTCATAGCATACTCTGGATTCTGATTGGCTGAGGGCCTGGCATAAAGCAAGTTGGGTAATTTTCTCCAACCTGACTTTTTTCTTCCCTTGACATCAAAACGTCCTATTTAGCTGGGTCAAAGATAGTGCAACATTAAAGGTTGAAGTTCCACCTTCCCCTGAAGCTTAGGTGTGGTCATATCACTAAATTCTAGCCAATGAGATAAGAACAGACGGATAGTGTAGCAGTTTTGGAAAAGATCCTCATAAATCAGCTCTGTGGGCCTTTTGGCCTTGTCTCTTTACCTTCTTCCATCTTGCTGCATTCTAAGGATGTTGGAGAGGAAAGCTAGAAGGTTCCTGGTGGCTTGACTACATCCAGACCTTTTTTATGCCAAAGAGAAATCAATTTCTTTCCTTCCTCCTACCCACCCCCAAGAGAAATCAATTTTTTTTAAAGATTTTATTTATTTATTTATTTGACAAAGAGAGATCACAAGTAGGCAGAGAGGCAGGCAGAGAGAGAAGAGGAAGCAGGCTCCCTGCTGAGCAGACCACCTGATGCGATCCCAGGACCCTGAGATCAGGACCTGAGCCAAAGGCAGAGGCTTAACCCACTGAGCCACACAGGCGCCCCCCCATGTGAGTATTCTTGACCAATGAGCTAGGAAGGGAAGTGGTGGAGTCGTTCCTGAGCCAACACATTTATTTCTTGTGTGGGGACCATGCGGTTCTCTCTCTGCCTGCTGCTGATCAAGATGCCATGGTTTGTGTTTGGTGCAGTGATAAGATGGTAGATGTCTCTCTGCCTGAGTCCTTGAATGACTCTGCGGAGAACCATCCCTTGGTGACTTGTATGGGACACATATACGGCCAAGAAATCAATTTTTACTGTATCATTCCAGCAGAGCTGGCAGAACCTGATCAATGAAGTGCAGGCACTAGCTTGCTGTTATGCGAGGAAGTGCATCCCAGGAGGAGAGAACAGCAAGCACGAAAGTCCTGGGGCAAATGTGCTTGATTTTTAAAGGAACAGGAAGGAGGTCAGTGTGACGGAAGAGGTGAAAATGAGGGGACTTGTAAGGTCAGTTATATGGTGGGAGTAGGTCATGCAGGGCCCTGTAGGGCAGGGCAAGGACTTTGGATTTTATTCTGAAACAGATGGGAATCCACTCAAGAGTTGGATTTTGGCATAATAGGATCATGATGTGACTTGGGTTTTGAAGCCATCTTCCTGATTCTGTAGGAAGAAAACTCTAAGGGGGTAGAGGGAAAACCAGTATGGGTCACTGTAATAATCCAAGAGAACACTGGTGCTGGCTTGGACAGAGTGGTATTGGGGGACATGTAAAAACGGCTGAGTTATGAACATATGTAGGCAGTGGATTATACAGGACTTGCTGATGGGACAGGACATGTCGGGGGCGGGGAGGTATGGGGCAAATGCCCCACGAAACTGGCTTCAAGAAAGAATGGAGGGGCGCCTGAGTGGCTCAGTGGGTCAAGCCTCTGCCTTCAGCTCTGGTCATGATCTCAGGGTCCTGGGATCAAGCCCCACCTCCAGCTCCACACTCAGCGGGACCCTGCTTGATATTCTCTCCCTCTCCTTCCCCCCTCTGTCTCTCCCCCCATACTCTCTCTGACAATAAATAAAATCTTTATTAAAAAAGAAAAGAAAAAGAAAATCTCTTAGAGACTCCTAACTCCTGCTTCAGAGATGCCCCCACCGCAGACCTGGCTGAAGCCAAGGACATGTTTCCCAGATATGAGATCTTACTGGTGGCTTGGGGATTAAACAGTCACGTCCTGGAGTCTATTTCCTGCCTTTTTCAGTCTCATGAGGAGCACAGCAGAACCTTAGCGGGAGGATCTTTCCTTCTACCTAGTACCCTATGACATCATGACCCATCCTGACTCTCCATTGACTGAGAGGCCCACTTTCCTCTCAGGGAAGGAACAGGGTTGTTCTCTAGGCTCAAAAGAACCCTAAGTCATATTTCTTCCTTTGAGAATCCCTCAGAGTACTCCCTCAGCGACTCTCCTGCAAAGAACACTCAAATTTGAAATAGGGTTTTCCATTGTGGCTGTAGGGGGCAGAGGTCAGGGTGACAAGGAAGGTCCTAGGCCATGACAACCTTCACGGCCATAGTACTTACTGCTTCTTGGTTGTTTTTTTTTTTAGCTCCACTCCTCCGGCCTGGAGGTACCCAGCTGTGGGGTGGAAGTAGAATTCCGCTCAGCACCCAGTAATGCCATGCCATTTTGTGGCTCCCAATGGGCTCTTTTCTCAGGAAAGGGTTTAGGCTGCACCTCAAGACCAGATGAACCTCGGTAAGAACCCTCTTTGGATATACACCCCAACTCCCTTTATTCCTTTCTCAGAGACTGCCCTAGGCCCCATCAGGAACACAAAGTGCCGAAGTGTGGAACTTTCTGGAAGTCTGGAACCGCTGTCCTTTCCTTCAGCGCATTTCCCGCCTTTTCTATCCACCCTCCCTCCAACTGGCTTCTGGCCGATCATCAAGCAACACAGATCTGACCAGCACGCAGCGACGGCGTACCAACCCCTTGCTTGGATCAGGCGTTGCGTCCGGGAGCACAGCCGTCCTTCAGCTGCGTAGTTTCCTCCACTTGCGCCCCCACCCCCACCGTCCCAGCACATATCAGGTGCTGTAGCCGAAATTCCCCCCAAGATTTAAGGCTTTATTTAGGGGAGTGGCCGCACAGGTCACAGGCCAAACGTCCTGGCCAGATACCTCAAAAGTCTTGCTGGCATTTTGCCACCTTTGGTGTTGGGGGGCGGGGGGGCGGGTCCTGGGCCCCCCCCCCCCGCACTTTAGCAGGCGCATGCCAGTGACGTCAGGGGCTCCACGGCTTCTGATTGGCTCGCTACGGGACGCACCATCGAAGTGGAAGGCTTGGCTCACGGTCACTTCCAAGTTCCTCAGTGGGCTGTGGAGGTACCCAGGTCTGGCTCTGAGGTTCGGGGTTCGGGTCCTGGGCTTGGGGTGGGGGGCCGCAGGCCGCGGCAGCCCCCGGCGCGCTCCTCCAGCTGCAGCCGCCGCAGAGGCCGGGCCCAGCGTGGCCTCCAGGGCAGCGCGAGGCCGTGGCGGTCGAGGACCAGGCGCGTGGGGTCAGGGCCGCCGGCCGCGCTGCCCAGAAGCAGGTAGTCGGTGTCGGGCCGTAGGCGCAAGCAGCCGCAGACCAGGTCGGCGCGGGGCACCCAGGCATCCTGGCCACCGCGGGACACGGGCCGCGCCCGCTGCTTGTACACGGCCAGCACGCGCACGGCCAGCCGCTGCCACGCCGGGCCCGCGGCCTCCGACGCCAGCACCTGCGCGCGGAGAACTGCGGGGAGGGTTGCCATCAGGCCCAGGCTGGAGAGGAGTGCTCTGGGGTCGCAAGGGGTCTGACCCGGTGGGGAGAGGGACAGGCCCACGGGGGTGGGTTCCCAGGAAGCCCTCAGGGAGGAGAGAGACCTTCAACGTTGAAGGGTGAGAGCTCTGGGGGTATGGCCCTGTGTCCTAAATGGTGGACCCTGGTGGAGGAGACATGGTCAAGGCAAGGAGGGCAGGGCTCTATGGAGTGTGAGGTGGGGTGCCAGAATTGTGATAGGAAGAGTGGGGTGATGGAGGGCTCCACCTGTGGAGGGGAGGCCAAAGGAGGAGCCTGGGAACATGGGACATGCCATGTGGGATGCTTTGGTTGGGGTTCATCCTGGAAGCAGCAGATGCCAGAATGATCTGAGGTGCGGGGAGGGATGACTGGGGGGCCCACAGTGGGTGTGGGTGGAACAAGGCAGAAGAGGCAGGTCGGGGGTCTCAAATGTGGTAGAGTCAAAAGACGTCAGAAGCAGAGCCCTTGGAAAAAGGCTTGGGAGAGGCTCTGGGATGAATTTGGGGGCCAGAAGGAGTTCAGAACCTAGAACCTGAGGGTTGAGGTCAGACTGGTGGTGATTCAGAAACGTGATCTCTGAAGGGCTAAGGTGAAATGTGTTGTGGGCAGGACTCTGGCTCACAAGCTAAGTCTGTGGGGCAGAAGATCCCTGCGGGAGGCAGGACAAGAAGTTTCTATTGTCCAAGTCCTAGAACACCACTGGCCAGATGATGATCCTCAGGGAGGAGAGGCCTGGGGTCTTACACCATTGAGGGAAGTCACAGGCTGGTCTGGATTCAAGGGCTGGGCTGAACTCCTGAGTATCTAAGGTAACTCCTGAGTTACCCCAGGTCATAGGCCCTGAGGTCATGGGTTAGGGAACTTTGGGGGTGAGCCTCTGTGGGAGTGGGACTATGGTTCAGAATCTGGGATCCTGATGGGCGATGCAAAGTGTCTAAGACAGGCAGGACCCTCCATTCAATGGGCACCCCCTTCTCCTTTGATCCCCAGAAGGTCCCCTTTTTCCCCCAAAGATGTCCAGCTGAAGGGGGCCAAGAACATGGGGAAGGAGGAGACCTAGGAAGATAAGGAACACCCCCACTCCGCTGCCCCTGCCCCCCTTTGTCTTCTGCCCCATTAGGTCTGAGATCAGGAAGAGTCCTTTAGAGACCTCCTTCCCGTTTAAGATGAGAAAGCTGAAGGTGGAGAAGGAGGCATTCAACAGAACACCTGAGTAGCCGCCTGCCATTTTTCTCCCCGGCACTCACCGTAGTCTTGCTGACAGTACCTCCGGAGGCTCATGTGTACCCTGGTGTCCGAGACATTGCAGTAGTTTTGACATTGGGGGTCTGGGGAGGGTCAGGCCATCTGCAGTGGGCTCCTGAGGCCTGGACTGCAGCACCCCACCCCTGCCCATCCCCACACTCCATCTTGATGGACAACTGGGGTGCCCCACCCCGTGGGATTGGGCTCAGTGGGCCACCCCTGTATCCCCATCTGGGGGCCCAAGCAGCCCATCCCTGATCGCCCTTGCTCTCAGGGTTCTCCACACCAGCCGCTCTTACCGGAGCTGTAAGCACTAGGGGTAGTAGCCAGGGGGGTGGTTGCCTCTGGAATTCCTGTGAGAGACCAAAGGAGAAATTTACCCTTAATGCCCCCTCCCATGCATCCCCACACCAACAGGTATCCAGGCATCCAGATCCCGTGTCTATTCCCTTAAAGCCCAGGAGTGCGCGCTCCCTTTGCCCTCCTCCTCCTAGGACCTGGAGTTGGTCCCTAGTCCCTTCCTTCAGATCCCCCACCCCCTCCTCCCTCAGACCCAGGAGTCCAGGCTCCTAGCCTCCTCCTTCCCAAGACTAAGGAGACTGGTATTTGAGTCCCCACCTCCCCCAAGGGCCCAGAGTCTGACCTCCAGCCTCTAGCTTCCATCTACCAAGGACTTGGCCATCAGCATCCTTGCCCACTGGAGATCCAGGATGTCCCCTTCCTATCCCACTTAGGACTTGCAACTCTGCCCCTCAGACTCACGCTGGCAGGGCATCCGGGGAGAGCGGCTCTGCTGGTAGCCGGGACCACAGCGGTTGCATGTGAGGCCGGTGACCCCTAACTTGCAGGGGCACTGCCCACTGGTCTGGTTGCAGATGCCTCCCGTGGCCCCGATCGGGTGACACTGGCAGGCTGAGTGAGGAGCGGAACTTAGGACCCAGGCTGTCAGGGCCCCAGACGCTCCTTCCCAGTCCCCCAGCCCCAGGAGTCTGGCCC